CAGTCCCTTCTGGTCCTCACACACAGCCCGCTTCTTAACTTGACTGATGAGGAACTAGGAGCCCAGTGAAGTTTCAGAAACTTGAGGTTGCAGACAGTAACTTCCCCAGACATCCCTGCAGTGAGGTCTTTGTGACACCCAGGTCCATGAGTGTTTCCTGTGCTCACCAGTCTCCAGCACAGGAGCTTCAGAACTGGACCATCTGGAAGGTGAACAGAGAGAGGCATCTGGGGACCTCATCCAACAGGATTAGATACAAACTGAGCCTGAGGGCCTGAGCAGCTCCCAATGTCACTCTCAGTGGCCTCCAGGTTTGGGGCCTCAACTGAACTTGCTGGTGTCATGAAGGGTTTTCCTGGGCAGGTGTTTCTGAAAACCTGCCCTGCAGTTCTCCCAAAGGAAGCATCTCAGCTACCTGAATGTGAGCATCCATATTCCCATTATCCCCGTTCTTTCTTTCCCCATGGTGTGGGTCCTGCCCACACACCTGTGACCAGGTGCCCGAACTTGCCTACACTTGCTGTTTCATCAGTATCTTACATATGACATCCACATGCTCATTAAAAATTATGTGCCTAATACATGCTCATGAATAAGTTCCAACTCGTAGTACCAGTAAGCTACAAATATCCTCTACCTTCTCAAATAGCACTGTAGAAACATCTTAACAGTTGAGTGTGGATACAATTCAGGACACAGTTTTTCCTCTGTACATTCCCACAACAATTCAAACTGAAGACATACCAATTAAAAATTATCCTTTACCCCAATCAACATGATCAAAAATATATAAAAAACATTAATAAAAAATAATAAAGCAAGGTTATAGATGAAATATTTATTTTATAATAATTGAAGTCAAATATTCAATTTATATTTTCATATGTTAAGTCAAAGACTGAATATATTATTACAAAATTATTCAACTCAGAATACCATTGAAAACAATGAATTTAAGAAAACTGACAAAATTTGTACATAATCTAAAAATAATTGCTAAGAGAAATGAGACATCTATTTATAGTTCGTGGATTAGAACATAAAATACTGTTAAAATTGTAGTTCTCCCACAATCCCTATTGAATTTTCTTTAGGCTTTTTTAAAGTAAGACGGAGAGGTTAGTCTTAAAGTGAATATGGGAATTCATAGTAGTCAAAGTGATTCTGAGTGCAAGTCAGGGGTACAAAAATTCTAGTTCTCTACATTGCCACCAATATTTGATATTTTTCTGGGCTTTATTATTTTTCAAATGTATAACCTTCCTAATGGGTGTGAGATGGTATCTCACTGTAATTTTAAAATAACTGTTATTGAGGAGTTTGTGCCGGTGTCATACATGTAACTCTCTCTTTCTAATCTCCCTTCTTTCTAGAGAAAGCCCAGGCTGACCTTGAAATCAATAACCTCCATGCCTCATAATTGTTTTTTAGTATCTTAAAACAATTCTACATTTCTGGAATACATTTTAATCAGTTGTGGCATGTACTACTATATTGATGGTACCAGGCTCAAGGTACTCCTGTTCATTTTTTCAACAGCACTGATACTTCTATTCATGTAAAGCACAAAGCAAGTTAGAGGTGAGAATAGCATTGATGCTTCCATTTATGGAAAATGCAATGGGTTAAAGATAGAAAGTTAAGTTCCTTCTGTCTGAAGTCACAGTGACCTTCCTCTACCGATGATTCCCGGGGCCATCCTGAGACATCTGCACTTTAGTGCCGCGGGATATGAGAAGCCAGGGTGAACTGAGGTGAGGAGATGTTTGTGGAGGGTGACCTGGAAGTGATGGTGTCATTGTGTCTACAACACCCTGACAAAGCTCAAGTATGTGACCTTGATCACAATATAGGGAGGCTGAGGAGTGCGTGGAAAGGAGTGCAGTATGAAATACATAACCCTCTCCATTCATGACACCCCCTAATGTTCACTCAGGTGAGTCATAACATAACCCTCTCTGTTCATGACAACCCCTAATGTTCACTCAGGTGAGTCTCCATGAAATACATAACCCTCTCTGTTCATGACAACCCCTAATGTTCACTCAGGTGAGTCTCCATGAAATACATAACCCTCTCTGTTCATGACACCCCTAATGTTCACTCAGGTGAGTCTCTATGCTCATCACACATACACAGGTTTGGAAACCTGCCGAGGTGTGATGTTTGGAGATAGATTTCCCACATTCTCAGGAATTTGTCTTTATAGCTCACCAAAGCTAGATTTTCATAACAAGTATTGACTTAGGGCACTTTTAATGACCACATTACAGAGTCGTTGTATCAGATGGAAACAGAATGAGTTGGCATATTTTTCTTCCTTTTCCACTTCCTGAAAGAGGTTACATAAAGTATTATTACTTAAATTTTTGTTTGTTTAATTCACAAATCATTAAGCCAGAATTTTCACTGGGTGAAAAATTTAAATCAGCAATTTGGTTCCCTAATATAGACAACAAAATTTTCTATATCTTATTGAACCCACAATAATAATTTGTGTTCATTGCCTGAGAAAAGCAACTTGTGCCAGTTAGAAAGCACACAGTTAACTTGGAAAAATTTACAACTAGATAGAGGCTGGATCCATTAACATCACTGTGCCTACCTTAGCATATTGCTGTCAGGTATTGGGCACTCATGTTTTTAAATGCAGATGAAAATTTGTCCCACAGCAGGTGGAGTGAAAACTGTGAGCTCTTGGGTCTTTTTCCACGTTGATAGTTCTCATCATCTAGCCCTAACCACCACAGTGGCAGCAATGAGAGCTTCTTTTAGATAATTTATCAGAATTATACCTGATAACAGATAAGCAAGAGGCAGATAATGGCTACACAGCCAATGTACATCTCAGATGAGGCTGGGTTTCAATCTGCTCCTCCTCCAACCTGCGTGAGTTATCTGCTGCAGGACACACAGAGGAATATCTGGACTAGCTTATCTGTATGCAGGTGTCAACTCAGTGACCTACAGCCAACTTCATACATTCTGTCCCTTGCTTCCTCAAAATTTCTCTGTGAGACTCTAGGGAAACTGGGGATGGGCTCTGATAAGCTCTTCAAAGGCAGGGCTGTCAGCACTGGCCTTATTACTGCCTCAGGTATACCTGTGCCTGGAGAAGAGCGCTACACTGATCTTCCCAGAGTCTGGTTCTGGCTGAGGCTGTTAGTGGAAGGTACGGAGTCTCCACAAAGGATGGACCCAAGAGCAACTGGTGACTGGGAGAGATCATGTCAGATTCCAGCAGGCTAGGGGTATGTATTAGGATTTGGTTACTCACATCCAATCCCACTTTGGACTATCTTTGCTCTGGGTTCAAGAAGAATTGCTGCAGAGTAAACTTACCAGGCCAGGTATATCCTTCCTAGGTGGATTTCATCTCTCCCAGTGGCCCGAGAGACTCCCAGCAAAGCCATCCCACTGACGCAGTAAGTTTATTGGTGCTCTGAGGGACACAGACCTACTTGTACAGGTACATCTCAGCAATTGGTTGCCACACTGTGGCCTTAAGTGACAGTTTCATTGGGGCCCCAACTAGATGAGAAGGGGATACGTGTAGACATCAGCTCTGCGGTATTGTTCAGTTACAGTTCATAGTTAGGAACTCATCACATACTGTTGTAACCTTTTGTCCCCTTTGTAAATGCCCTTCCCCATGACCCCAGAAGACCCCATGAAGACACTGTGCTGCACCCTGCACCATGTACCATGAAGCTCTTCTCACATCCATGAAAACTCATACACAACTCAGATCCATAATGGGGCACACTGGAAGCCCCATTTTGCAGGTAGAATTCCCCATTGATGGCATGATGACTTCAGTGTCCTTCCTAGCATGCCTGGAACCTGTGAGGATTTGTGGATTTAGATGTTTAGAGCTGCTGCTTTTTGATGTCACACCAGGCATCACAGTGGGTTAAAGTTAGAGTTCCTGAGTAACTCATTACTAAAACCAGACACTCCTGAGTTGGAGCACTTGAGATAACACCAGGACAGACACCAACCAGGGACAGGGGGGTCTCATAATCATGAAAGCAGTAAGGAGGCTCCAGAGCTACCTGCTATGATGTGGCATAACTCAGCATCACTTTAGTGGCTGAGTCCGGGGTAGGTCAGCCAAGCCACAACAGAATTTCTACCATGTGTCAGGAAAAGTCCATAAAAGAATCCCTGAGGACTCTGCTGCAGCCTCAGGGTCACTCCAGGCAGCTGAGGAGCCCTCTGCAAATTAGAAAGCATTCTTTCAGAAGCCATCAGTGACTGAAGCAAAGTGAATTCCTTCTCACAAAATGAAGCCCCAGTAACCTTCAAATTTTTCAAAGTTCATACCTCTTCAGCCACCACCACCACCAAGAACCCACTAGCAGCTGCCCCCAGAGGAGGGATACAAGTGCAGATGGATCTGACCCAGTCAGCTCTCTTGAACTGTTCCACAGGAAAGGACAGAGACTTTGTAAACACACACATTATACACCATACAGACACACATACACATCACACACCACACAGACATAACACATTCATCAAACACCACGGACACATCACACAGCACACAGATACATATACCATATACCTCACACACCATACAGAAACACTACACATATCACATGTTAGATACCATGCACCACACAGACACATACAGATGTATCATAGACATATCACACACCTCACAGATGCATTATACAACACATAGACACAAACAGCATACATATCATAACACACATCACATATAACACTCCACAGGACACATCATAGACATATCACACACCACATAGATGCACCACATACCACAAACACATCACACAGCAGACATCACTTATCGGACTCTAGATACACCACACAGACACATCACAGACACCTCAAACACCACACACACAACTCTCCATATACCATACAGATACAGCGAATAGTATAGGTATCACACACCACATATCACACAAAATAACCACACATACATTACATACTATAGACCACATTATACACAACATAACACACATAACACATGAACTTTTGCCATGTTTATTTTTACCAATTCATATCTCAACATTTTATTGTGAAAATTTTCAAACATCTAGAAAATTTGAAAGTGAAAATTCATATGTACTTAACACCTAGCTTCTATCATTGCTAACATTCTTCTATATAGATGATTCTTGAATGACAATGGGGTTTGCATTCTGAGGAACTCATCATAAATTGAAGATATCTTAAGTCCAAAATACACATAATACATATACTCTACTGAGGAGCACGGCTCAGCAGCATCATGTACCACAGAGCAGAGGCGTCTCCTCATGATCTCGGGCTGACGGCCTGACACTGCCATCCTGAGAGAGGCTCATACTTGTCACTAGCCCTGGAAAAGATCAAAATACCAAATTAGAAGCATGGTTTCTCGTATTAATTTTGTACCATATCAAAATCAAAAACTTGTAAGTTGTGCCATTACATCAGGGAACATCACTGGCCACTTAACCATCTGTTTTAATCACTTAACTGTAAATCTTATTTCCGGGTGTATGTTACAATTGTAGCCTCCGGTGAGCCTCACTAACATGTACAGATGTTGCTTCAGTTTTAGTGGTTTGACTTTTTTACTTCATTTTCTACCCCCACTTCCTCTTGTCCCCCAGACACGCTATGGTTGAGAATTTCTGTCACTCCATTGTCCTGTTTCTCACTTTTGTTAGTCCTGAATGCCATCCCACAACTGTAAAACTTAATATCAGTCAAACAGAGGCCCAGTGCATTGCTCTCTCCTCAGGCTGGGGGAACTGTGGACCCACAGGTGACTTAGGCCTGTGTCCTGAAGCCCCAGTCAGCACGCCATAGTCACCTTTACTGTGGAGTTGTTTTTGGAGCTGGAGCCTTAAAACACATACTTGACTGCTGGGAAAGAGTAGACAGCAGGAACTTCTGGGGCTCCACTCTGAAGAGGAAAGACAGACGCGTCAGCTTGGGGGAGACCCCATAATTGAGGCCGAAGAATCTCATACCAGCATCTTGGGGCTGTAGTCATGTGTACTACACAGTGGGAATCCATAATTGGGTTCTAGTGTGATGGGCCCTGACTCCTAGCCAGTGGTATACACAGAAAGGTGCATCCTCATACTGCTTGGGCCCTGTGTCAGAACTCTATTTTGCCAAGTCTAATCTTCAGTCTTTGCAAATGGATAAAAGGTCACCCTGTGCACCCTCAGCATCTCCAGCTCATGGGAGTTTCTTGCAGCAGATCCAGCAAGCTAACATAGAAGGCTGATCTGGAGTATCCAGGGAGCTCTACTGTAACCACCTTAAGGCATGGGAAGGCAGAACTCAGAGACTCAGCATAGGAGAACGATGGTGCTAGCCATGCTGCCAACAGTGTTGAGGGTGAAAGCAGGAAAAGACAGGAAAAGTAAGTTCCAGAAGCTTCCTGAATGTACTTAGCCAGACTCTTCCTCAATCCCTCTGGGTAATGCTGCCTGTGAGACACTGGAGAACCCAGCTGTGTGTAGAGACAATGAGTTTGTGCTAATGTCTTCTACAGCAGGAGAAAACCAATTCAAACCACATGGAAGGCAGCAGCTGACCGGAATTCCCTCAAAGTCAAACAAGAACATTCTTCCTATGTAAAGTCCCATTCTTTGTTCCTGTTTGCTTCCTAACTCTATCCGTCTATTTCATGGAATATTTCACAACAGATACAGATGCTAGAGGAAATATTCCCAGTAAATGGTCTACCAACCATTAGAAAGAGTGCTCTGTGAAGTTGGGGCCAGAATATTCCACTAACCAATAACTGTAACTGATACCTATATCCCATGGACACTTACTTGTGCTTTGTGACTGGTTCAGTGCCACATAGGACTAAGACAATAACCATGCTCTCTGGCAGGAGACTTTGGTGAGAGTTTTATTTATAAAATTTTGTAATTTCCAAAATTGTCTATAATGTGCATCTATTTGGTAATCAGAAACAAAATGAAGTGGTTTGGAGTGGAGCTATAGTCATGGCCACAGTTAGGTTTTGCCAGCCTTCCAGGAAGAGGAGAGGAGGAGAGGAGAGGAGAGAGACAGAGACAGAGAGACAGAGGACACTCTGGAAGTCTGCTTAAAAGACTAGGCAGCATTTCAAATCAACATTCCCAATGATTTGGCTACACAAGAGTATTGCCGACCAAGTTTCTAAGAAAGCCAATTTAGACCAAAAAATTAGTTCTTTAAAAGAAAATGATTTTGTTTTTTCAGAATAAGCTGTTCTCACTGACCAATAGACGGAAAAAAACTAAAGGGACTCTCAATATTTGCACGAATGAAGTGTGAAACTTCAGTTGTGTCCTGGGGCCCTGGAGTACCTCTGACCCTGAACTGCAGGGAGGACTGGACTGACTAATGGGAGGCTTCTGTAAGACAGAAACTTCCTGGGCACAGAGGTGGGAAGGGGCCACAGGGCCAGCCTGTTCCTCTTTACTCTTCCTCTCTGGACAAACACCAGCTTTTCCTCAAAAAAAGGGAGTGTCTAATGCTGATTCTCAGAGAATCATGGAGATGTATCCTTTCTCCAACAGACATGAGTGGAGATTATCTCTTCCACCCCCTATTTTGTTCCTTCCTCTGGCCTGCCACCTCTTGCTACCTTTCATGGAGAGACCATGGCTTTCCCCTCAGAAGAATAGTGTCCTGTGCTCATGACAGAGTCCCCTGAGCCTTGGACAGCAGGGAAGAAGCTACAGAAGCCACGATGCAGATATAGGACCGCCCTGTGCAGGGCACTAACCTGTGAGGATCCAGAGAAGCTGCACCTAGCCTGCTCAGAAGACATGGTCACCTGCAGTGTCCTGGCTGGGGGACCATGACTGAGGGCTGGATGGGGGTTTGCATATGTGTGTTTGTCTGGGGAGGCTCAAGTGAACATCTACTTGTTTTTCCTTTAATTGGTGTTAGCAGACCCTAGAGATGAGGTGACAGAGATGAGAGAGTGAAAATGCAACATCCACAAGTCTGAAAAATACTTAGTATGGTAACTCCTCAAAACGCACATACATTTGGGCTTATGGTGTGAGGAGCAAAGAACAACAGAAAACCAAGGTGGAACATTCAGTTAGTGTGTATAATCATGTCTCTGTTACAGTTTTTCTTGGCTATACAAAACGTTTTTTTTTTTTTAATGAGAACAGAGAACACTATAAAATGTGTCTCCCCTCTGTGTTAGGGCCAATTTCTGTCTCGTGTTTCTGGTGGTATGTGCCTTGCTTTCAGGCAGAGCTGTCACTAGGGAGCATTCTTACTCAATGTCTCCTTGACTCAAGATGGAAATGAATGACAAGCTCTGACTCTCAGGATCTTATAATCTAAGCCAAACACTGTCAGAGATTGATAGGTACCCATCTGCCCGCATGGCTGTACATGGATGTATTATATGAACCAATAGAGCTGGGGAAACAGCTGAGTGGGAAAGCTCTTGCCCTGCAAACATGAGGGTATGAATTCATCCCCAGCATTCATGGCAAAAGCTGAGTGTGGAAGCACATGCCTGTCATCACAGCACTGGGGTTCACCGGCCTGCCAACCTAGCTAAGACAAAAAGCACCTGATGGGGTGGGGCTGGGGAAACAGAGAGACAAAGATAGAAACAGAGATACTGGGTCTCAAAAAATAAGACAGAAAGCAACCAAGAAAGACATCCATCTTTGGCCTCCATACATATGTGCACACTCATACACACGAACACTCATGCACACAAAGAAGCATTCTAATTTTATACACTAGTACAGCTGTGAAGGACATACCTCAGTTGGCACAGCTACATAAACAGTTATGGATGTCAGAAGCTAAGTGAAGCAACCGTATTTTATACTATGTCATCCCATCATTTAAAACATCACACCACAAATGAACTATTTTCTAAAGCCCTTTGAGCTAAGAGGCAATAGCTGTTTTCAGATAAAATACCACCAGGAAGCTGCCACTCACCTCGGTGAGGCCTGAGACCAGCTCAAGTTGTTACTCTTTTCCTACAGAGCAAACGAAAATGCACAAGTGAGACAAGAAGCTACTTATGGTGGGCTTCCTGCCTGCTGCTCACAACTAGAGTCTATCTTCAATTCTGAGAGACAGCACCTAGGGAGGTTGTCATGGGAACCGTTCCCTCCCCAGACAGCACTCTTCCTCAGAACCATGTTTATGGGCACATGCCTTCCTGTCTCCATGGCCAGGTGGGAGAGGGCCTGACAGCTGGCCTGGTGGCAGTATTTGTGCAGCTTTCTGAGGACCACTTGATGTTTCCACCTCTGGAGAGTTTGTAATCCCATTTCACCTTCTGCTCCTTGGGACGAGCTGTCCCTCAGCCTTGTCACTAACATTGGTACTGTCAGGCCTTTTGGAGGAGGTTAGCTGTTGGGTGTGTGGGTATCTAATGGTCTTACCAAATGCTGTCTCCCCTTGCCATCTGTGTTCTCCTCAGCAAAGGATTTGATCAGATTTAGGACCATTTCATTAGAAAGATCTTAGTATTTTTGGAACAAGTGTGTGGTTTAGAAACACCTTGACAATGGCTTCCATTTCGTTTTCTTAATGACAATCTTTGAAAATAAAATTTTATATTTCATTGTATCATTTCTCTAGACATTGATTTTACTGTTGTATTGGTGGAAATTGCTGAGTTCAAGGTCACAAAGATTTTGTTTTCTCTATTAATGCTATAATTTAGGTCTCAAACTTAGATCTGTGGTTGGCTTTGGATTTTCTGCAGGAATAAAGAAAAACTCAAGATGGTCTTCAGTCTTGGGTATGTTCAGCTCAGGGCCAGGCAGGGAAGCCAGCACTTCTCCCAGTTACCCTGGCTATCTTTGTTCAACACAAGCTGGTCAGAAATGAAAGGTGTAAGTCTGGGCCTTTATGCCATCCATCTGGTACATGGCTGTTGTAAAGCTGTTAAGCTATGGGTTTACACATTTTTAAGGATTATGTTGCCCATAAACTGTTTCCTGTTGTTCACGGCATGCCTTAAGCGATCATTGCACTGGCTTTAGTATGATGTCAAAGGTGGTGAGAGTGGATGTCCTTGCCTGTTCCCAGCTAGCGGGGCAAGGGTCACTTTTTCACCATAAAAATGACCGACTAATGAGCTCTTCATGGTTTTCATTTTATTCTTGGGCTGTGGGTATTTTCTTTTAACCAGAAGTAGTGTTTTAACAGAGTATTCATTTATTTTCTGTATGGGTTGATATGATTAAAAGGTTCTTGACCCTTATCCCGTTAGTATTTTATTACAATAATTGTTTCACAGATGTTAAACAAATGCATTTCTAGAATACACACGTTTTCTCTCGGTGTACAATTGATCCTTTGTGTGCATTTGTGACGTGTTAGTTTGATGATGCTTTATGTGTTTTGCCTATATTTACTGAATATCTTTGCCTCACTGCAGTCTTCCCTTGTGCTGATACTTTCTGGCTTCAGTGTCCAGTTAATCCTGGTGTCACTCCATGGGTCACTTCCTCCTCTGTGATCTGAATTCGTGTGCTTTCTTTTTCCTCCTCCTCTCCTCCTCCCCTTTTTGTTTTGTTTTCATTGAGAATCTCATACAATATACTTTGATCAAATTCTTTCCTCTCCCCCAACTCCTCCAAGATTCCCCTCAACTTCATGTTCTTTCTCTCTCTTAAAAACAAAACAAAAGAAGACACACACAAATAAAAACAAAACAAAACAAAAAAGAAATGGAGTCTGATTTGTATTGGCTAACTACTCCTGAGAATGAAGCCTGACCTGGAATGTGGTTGAGACAGAGATACTTCACCACACACCACACAGACATACACACACAAAAACACAATACACTCACACACCACACAGTCACACTACATACACCACACACCAGACACCACATAGACACATCACACAAACATACTAATGCCTCACACACAATACACCATATAGACACACCACACAAATATACCAATACCTCACACACCATACACTCCACACATCACACAGGCATACCACATACCATACACATCACATACCACACAAACACAACTCATAGACACAGACATACCACATACTACACAGATGCATCAGATACCATATACAACAAATAGACATACCATATAATGCACCATATGTCAAATAAACACACTACACACAACACAAAAACGTCCCACACCACAAAGACATATTACACACCATACACATGCATCACATATTACACACATAACGTATATACATTATATGCCATACATAGACACACATATCATACATTGACACAACCAAACTACACTTACACCATGCACTACATACATTACATACCACATGGAAACACATACCATACACGAGCACATATGCACATACACATTATGTACTATGCAGACATACACACTAAGTACTGTATCTACAGACACTCTACACACCACACAGTTCCACTGAGTCTTAGGACAGCATCAACAGTGAAAGAGTGCAAAGCTGGGAGGTCCCTGTATAGGGTGCATCCACACATTGGCCTCAGCCCTTCCACGAGCATGACACGGAAGGACCAGCACACCTGGGAAAGGTTCCCCTTTTTCCGCAGAGATGGCTCTTTCTTTTCTGCTGAACGTGAATTCCTCTGGAATCGGGTCTGCACCATGTAGTCAAATGTGCTCAGGTTCTTGGCAACTGCAAAGGGAAGGGCAGAAAAGGACAGGGTCATCCAGAAGCCATGCACAATGTCACGATGTAGCATGAATCTTAAGAGGTCTTATTAATAAAATCAAAGGCCAGGTATTGGGGTGAATGCTGAAAGATCAGAGAAGCAGAACAAGCCACAGCTACCTCAGCTGGTCTTGTTTCCTCAGACTGGAAGCCTTTGAGTCCTCATCCAGAATGAATCTCAGCTGAACTGCTGCTCAAAAGCCTGAAAGCTGAACCAGCCAAATGCTGCTAGTTTCTGATCTCCACACCTTATATATCTTTCTGCTTTCTGACATCACTCCCTGGGATTAAAGGCTCACTTTCTGGGATTAAGGGCATGAGTCCCCATGCTTGGCTATATCCTTGTGGCCTTGAACTCACAGAGATCCAGAGGGATTTCTGCCTCTGGAATGCTAGGATTAAAGGCATGTGCTACCACTGCCTATCCTCTATGTTTAATATTGTGGCTGTCCTGTTCTCTGACCCCAGATAAGTTTATTAGCATTTATTAGCACAATATTTCAGGGAACACAATACCACCACATTTCCCCTTTTTTGTCTAAAATTTAAAAAAGCTTATAACTAATATAATAAAAATTATATCCAATAAGTATATACAATATACACAGTCAAGATTACATTAATGATGTCTAGTCCATTAACATTTGACAGATTCAGGCAAAAAACTCCATTAATATATAACAATGTCCAGTCCAGTAACATTTGATAAACTCAGACAAAAAAATTTTATTACTTATCCTATTTAAAACAAGTAGTTCCTTTTTTTTTTTTTAGGGTGCATACCCACTCGTTAATAATTTATATATATATAATTTATATATAATTTTACAATACCATTCAGTTCTACATATCAGCCATGGGTTCCCCTATTCTCTCCCCTCCCACCCCTTCCCCTTACCCCCAGCCTACCCCCCATTCCCACCTCCTCCAGGACAAGTCCTCCCCCAAGGACTGCGATCAACCTGGTAGACTCAGTCCAGGCAGGTCCAGTCCCTTCCTCCCAGACTGAATCAAGTGTCCCTGCATAAGCTCCAGGTTTCAAACAGCCAACTCATGCAATGAGCACAGGACTTGGTCCCACTGCCTAGTTGCCTCCC